AGTAAAACTAGATTAATTGTCTCTGTGCCTTCTTTCTTTCCCTGTATGCATGTATGATGTTTTAGGTGCTTAGACCTGACAGTTTGGAAATGTGCGAAGCTGAGATCACAGGGAATGAAAAGAACGGACCTGGATCGGCGATGGCTTCTCCCAGCCCATCTCAAAGATCCCCATCAGAAGTTCCCTTTTCAAGCAGTAATCTTCAAACTCGTTTCCCTTCGTCGCCGTGACGTCCTGCGGAGGAAAATGGACAGAGCATCAGCGAAAACGAAGCCCCCTTTAACGGAACATTCGGAAAGCGGGCCGAGACTCACTGAGGTTTTGACCCTGTTGTCCCTCGGGGGGAGCTGTAGGCATTTCTTCCAGTCGTCCCCGAACTTGATTCCTCCTCCTTCCTGGTTGCTCCCAGCTGGATTCTTTGCTGGTGTTGATGTGGGGGGTCCTGCAGCAGGTTTGGTCTGTCCTCTCAGCTGCCCGTTCTGCTTATTCAGTCCCATCATGACTGGACCAAGGTTTTCCGTTCGGGCAGTTGCCATTTTTTTTCCTGAACTTCAGTTCGTTTTTTTTTTCTTTTTTTTTTTTAGATTTGTCTCTTTTTTATATTCTCTAGTAAGTAGAAAAAAAAAAGTTTGATAAAGCGTTCAACAATATGTTCTCTGTGTCAAAAAGTTTTGCAGAGAAATGGCTCAGTAATATTTACATATAGACACAAAGGTGCAGCTCAGTCCTCTTCGACAAACAGAGAGACGGCTGCACGGCCAGCGAAAACAAAAACTGCTTTTAGTCAAAAACTCTTCCAAATGAAGAGAAATCTGCAATCAAATGCAGAAATTAACTCGCCCACGATATAGAAAATTATATGTGAACAAGCATCAAAGTGGTTCTAGTCCTGAAACAGAACAACTAAGGCAATCTGCACCAAAATGAGCTCAGGTCAGTATATCTGGTCAGAACGATATCTCTGATTTATTTTTACAGAGTCCCAGAGAGCTGCTGCATATCCCTGATCCGGAGAAAAGGATGTCCAAAGTTTGTAGAAGATAGTCTCCAGAAGTCCTGTATTCTGCTTCCTTCCACTGGGAGACGTTCTGCTTCTTTATAAGTCGAGGAAACAAAGATCCAACAAGGTTTTAGTCCAAAAGCGGAGAAGCTTTTCCTCCTTGCTGAGTTCTCGGTGCGTTTCCTTTCAGTTACGGTTTTATTCCTCCTCTCCGTCGACGGAACGGATGATCCGGTCGGCCCAAAGCGAGCGGCGTGGCAAACCCTCCGTCTCCAAAAGATCCAGACTGATGACTCCAAAGCCCCACCTGGAACCAGTTCAAACAGAACAAGGCTGCTGGTTAACTGGGAAAACATGTCAGCAGTGAAAAATCAGGAAACTGTCAAGCTGTGGTTGGGCGATATGAAGAAAATCTACTATGACGATATATTAGGACTATTATCACGATACACCTTTAAATTACCTTCAAAATTTTTTTTTTTTAAAGTTCATAAAATTGCACTTATATTTCGGTTTCTAATTTAAAACATTGCATTTTAACCAGATTTCTGCCATAGATGTGTTTGGATGTCAGTATTAGACCTTTACAAGATCCCGGCAACCAAACAGGAAACAAAGCAAAAACACACAATAATAAAAAAAAAAAAAAAACCAAAAATAAAAAGGGCTCTTTTGCGTATCATAAAAATAAATAAATGCGCAATGAAAAAAGAAATTGAACTAAAATCACAGAAAAAGTGTATATCTAGATTTCGAGTTAAAAGTTCTCTTTTCTGTTGGTCAATTAAAGTACGTTTTAAGATCATTTAAGGCGAGAATATTACACAGGGCCAACGCTGGCCCGTCTGCGGCAGCCAGGGCAGACGCTGGCTGCTGATTTATTGAACGTTTTAATTGGTGTAATTGACGCTGACATGAGGAGTTTATTACACAGGGCCAACGCTGGCCCGTCTGCAGCAGCCAGAGGCCAACGCCGGCCCGCCTGCGGCAGCCAGGGGCCAACGCCG